ACTCACTAAAAACTCCCACAGATCATGTTTTCAGACCATTTCAAGTCTTATTTTGACGTAACAAAGTGGTTACATCTAAGTGTGTGAGTTGTTTACTTACTTTTTTAAATGAGTCTTCCCATTAATGCCATTATATTGTTCATTCAGACTGATTCGCGAACGTAGAACGCGCATGAACACAAGAGGCGGGATTTATCGCATGAACCAATCACAGCCGAACATAACCAGTCATATCCAATCATATCGTGATGGAGGCATTGCCTCCTCTCACGTGATTTCCCCCCATTCATTCTCAATTACCCCCCCACTGCACGCTTTAGTTGGTCTGTTAAAACTCAATGGAATAAAATTACGTTTGAATAAAAATATTTTTTTAGCTATGTGATATATATAATGTATTACATTATGCATGATAAAATATAAAGATTTCACAGTGATTTGATTCTGTAAAGTTTTTTTTGGTTACTACAACATTACTGTAGTAAAACCATGTTTTACTACGTTTATACATTTGAAGACGAGCGGAGAGTATAGAATACTAGATAAAAAAAATTAGCTAGCTAGAATACATGCATATTAACGGCGTAAACATGAATTAGCCATGCGACCATATAATATGATTAAATGTTAATAAATTAAGTGAATCAGCTATCATACATTTCTTAGAAATATATTTTACCTAGGTGACGAGGATCGCTCAGTCGCTTTGTGTCAAACTCAAATGCAGTTACGGGGTTTTTGACCAGTGAATGTGTGCAAATGTGCATTTTGTCCGTCATTAAAACGGCGGCGTTACGTTTTCATCGCCAGGTGTTTGTTGTAGCTATATGGGCGCCACGCTCAGGCTCAGTTTCAAATACATAAATTATGAGCCTTTATAGACATAGTGTTTCTTGCGTAAAGAAAACGCTGTACTTATTCAAACAACAAGATCTTTATTTACCCTTGCAGACCTAGTTCAGCTGCTGTGGAACTTCAGTTCATTCAGTCAAGATAGAGGGGGTGGAGTTATGAGGTTTTACTGACAGTTTGAGCGGATCCAACAAGATTTAGTCACAAGCTCTTTTTAATACCTTTCATTAGCTAAATATTTGTAAAGCAGACAGACAGATGTAAAGGGTGACCAATATCATTGATTTATTGAAGGAAAAAAAAAAAACACCATCACCAAAAAAAAAGGGCACTTCGGAATGTAAGGGCAAAAAGGGCATGTGCTCTGCACAGGTTGAGCCCTACCTGTGCACGTGCCTGGTGGATAATTCACTGGATACAGTAGGTATGATGTGTTGAGAATTGGAATAACCACCAATGACATTGTAAGTCTGTGTAATTCAGTATAAGAAAATCGCAGCAGACTTCTTTGAATATTCATGCACACATGCACAAATCTAGGACTTAAAATTAGCGATGCACCAAAATTAAATTCTTGGCCCAAAGCGGATAATTCTGGACACAATGACTGTCTGAAAAACAAAAATAGTCATTTTAAATCATATTTTATTAATATGTATTATTATATTAAACTTTCTTTCAATTTTCTTAAACAACTGTTAAAATACTGTTAAAATACAACAAATAAAACACATCTAAGGATAATGATTAATTTGCCGTTTTTGATGTCCAACCTAAACTGACTAAAGAGAAAGAGAAGCAGGCAGTGGTTAGTTTTACTTTCAGTCTGTTTTCCCTTTCAGCTGGAAATGTTTGGTGCATCTCATCTTGTAGTCTCTGGGCCATCATGTGTGCTGAATCAGAAGAACGTTGAACGAGGTCTGGTTCTACAAGCCGATCATCTTATTCATGCTCTCATGACCCAAATTCACCTCAGCAAGATTATCTTTTCCACACCTTGATGTAATCTATTTATCCTCATCTTGCCAGCAGTTTCCCAATTAGACCTCAAGCCCTGTTAGCATTTTGTCATAATAGGTATAAAAGTGAGCAAGGAGGGCTCTTTGAAGTGAGCAATCGTGACGCTCTGTTGCATTAAGAGGGGCTGCCAGTGTTTACCCCTTAGGAAATGCTGTTTCATCTCCCGCTCAGCATTTGACGCAGTCCATGGGGAGCGCAAGAACAAGCGTGATAGGCGTGAACTCACCCACGGACGAGTGAAGGTACGGTACTGAGGTCTGTCATCGCTGGGCCTCAGAGCCTGCAAATGCATTTTAGCACTAGGTTAATGCTCTGTCGCATTTGAAAATAATGTACCCCCTGCAGTAAACCTAACCGATAGTGTTAACAAAAGCAAACGTAAGATAAAAATCAACCAAGCCATTTTAGTTTGCTTCTTTGACTCATACCCAAGCACTCTGCATTGAAAGTGCAATGTTGTACCAGGGGAGCTACCGAGCAAGTTTACAGTGTCAATTTGACATTGTCAAAAAATACATATTGAACTGGTTATGTGATTCATATGTCAAAATATATCCGTTTACAAATCATGCACTATG